AATTGGTCCCACAAATGAGTAAAGAAACTTTGAGGAAAATTTTACACGAAATGAAATTTACGTACGGAAAAGTTGACAGGAAAAGCATTCTCATTGAACGTCAGTAAATAATAGTATGGAGAAGAAATTATCTCCGAAAAATTGAGGAATTTCGGAATATAAAAAAAAATAAATTTACTACATGGATGAGACGTGGGTTAACCAAGGACATACGGTCAAAAAAGTATGGCAGGATGGTCATATAACAAGTGCCTTTATTGAAGGCTTGTCAACTGGGTTAAAACAGCCGTCTGGAAAAGGTAGTCGTCTGATAGTTACGCATATAGGAAGCGACAGTGGATTTTTACCAAATGGTGAATTAATATTTAAATCCAAGAAAACAGGCGACTATCATGAAGAGATGAATGCGGAGGTGTTTGAAAAATGGTTTGAAGGCATCATTCAACTTGTGGAACCTGGGTCTGTCGTCGTCATGAACAATGCCCCATATCATAGTCGGTATTTAGAATCATTACCGAAACAATCATGGAAAAACGAGCAATTTAAGAATGGTTAATTAATAAAAACATCCAATATAAAAAAGATAGTTTAAAGGCAGAACTACTTCAGTTAACAAAATTACACAGAGACAAATATAAAAAATTCGCAGTGGATGAAATGGCGTTAAGTCGTGGAATTACAGCCGAGAATAGTATTCTCGGATTACAGTATTAAGGTTACCACCATACCACTGCGAATTAAACCCAATAGAATTAATCTGGGCTCAAGTAAAAGGATATGTGGCACGAGAAAACAAAACATTTAAATTAGTGGACGTGCAACGTTATCTACAAGAAGCCATTCAAAATGTTTCTGCAGAAGACTGGAAGAAATGCATTCAGCATGTTTTAAAAGAAGAGCAAAAAATGTGGGACGTAGACAACCGTATTGAACACAATATTGAACCAATCATAATTAACTTTGATGATAGCGGTAGCAGCAGTGACGAATCTGAGGTTGAAGATTAGAAGAAAATTTGTACACAAAAAGAAGTCTATATATTTAGGTATAATTTTTATTTTTACCATTCACTATTACCATTTAGAAATTATTATATAAATTTGTATTTTTAATTCCTGTACACAGACATGAACAATGTCTCAGCAGGATACAAATGTTTATTTATTTAATTATTATTATTGTATCAATTTGTACATTGTTACATAAATTTGAAATAAACATTATTATTATTATTATGTTTGGCGGTCAAGAAAACATAATCCTGTAGGTTATATCCAAACTAATTATCTTACTTAGGGATTTCCGAAATGATAGATGCGTGTAAACTTTTATGATTTAAGTACCAATCAAATAGTAATTTAAGCTTTATAATGTCTTTTAATGTTGGCCGAACCCAATTAGGGTTTCTTGGGTAAGGCTGGCTAGTTTCGAGGAACTGCAGGTAAACCGAGAGAGAGAGAGAGAGAGAGAGAGAGAGAGAGAGAGAGAGAGAGAGAGAGAGAGAGAGAGAGAGAGATATGCTTTATTGTCATTGAAAAATTACAAAAATTTTATAGACAAAGCGAAGTAAATTAAAAACTAAATATAATATAAAAAGATTAAAAAATATAAAAATTTAAAAATAACTAAACAAAACAAAATAAAAATATCAATTGCATTGGATATGCAATATCCGTCATTATGATTTTAATTTAAAATTTAAGTAATACTTCTGTATGTGTAACCCAAGAAGAAACTTAAGAGACAGTTCCTTACTGACTTCGGCCGCGACATAATATATAAATATACGTTAATTTGTGAAATAAAGTTAAATTCATTATTAAAATAATAAAATTGATAATATTGTTTCTGTCACCAAACCAACCCCTGATTAGGTATCTTTCTTATTTTTAATTTGAAATATATATTGTGATTTTTATTAATATTCTTAATTAATTTGGTTCCTACTATAATTACCACAATTATTACTCCGTTTTCATAAAGCCCCACTAATGACTACAACGATTAGGTAAATTACGATATTGCAAAGTTTTCATGAAATAAATAAAAGAAATTTTATGAATATTTTAAATAATTGTACCCTCTCAAAAATAATAAGCACGCCTCCGATTTGGTCGTATTTCTACCTGCTTTCACTCTCAATCATTATTTGTTTGAGTTTAGTTTCTATAATTGCGGTGTTGCCAAATCGAGTAAGAAAATATATAAGTCAGGAAATAATTCGGTTAGTGAAAGTTGGCTGAAAAATTACATAGTGTCCGACCAGCAGGTAAATTTGGATCTCGAAGTGAAAACATTTGTAGTAATCACAGACAACCGTCTTTTTATTTCATTTCATGATGATTGTACGTTAATTACGGCATGTCGGTACTTATCTAATATTTTAAATATTTTTTTTTTTCAATTTGAGCTGGGTCCAGGCCGTTGGAGTTTATGCCGGTCGGCGTAGCCAGGTATGGTTTAAAATTTTTCTGGTAGCGGCGAAGCCGCCACCTTACAAGAAGTCGTTCCTTCATTTTCTTATTGTATTTTTTCTTATTATTAGATGCCCACGATACAAGACACGTTCGTTAAAAGTTGGGATCGAGGTTCACTGGTCAGACGCTAATGAGGGTTGGTTAGGTTAGGTTAGGTTTTTCAATTTGAGCTGTGTCCAGGCCGTTGGAGTTTATGCCGGTCGGCGTAGCCAGGTATGGTTTTAAAATTTTAAAATTTTATTACAAGAAGTCGTTCCTTCATTTTTTTATTGTATATTTTCTTATTATTAGATGCCCACGATACAAGACACATTCGTTAAAAGTTAAGATCGAGGTTCACTGGCCAGGCGCTAATGAGGGTTGGTTAGGTTAGGTTTTTTTTTTCAATTTGAGCTGTGTCCAGGCCGTTGGAGTTTATGCCGGTAGGCGTAGCCAGGTATGGTTTAAAAATTTTCTGGTGGCGGCGAAGCCGCCACCTTACAAGAAGTCATTCCTTCATTTTCTTATTGTATATTTTCTTATTATTAGATGCCCACGATATAAGACACGTTCGTTAAAAGTTAAGATCGAGGTTCACTGGCCAGACGCTAATGAGGGTTGGTTAGGTTAGGTTTTTTTTTCAATTTGAGCTGTGTCCAGGCCGTTGGAGTTTATGCCGGTAGGCGTAGCCAGGTATGGCTTAAAAATTTTCTGGTGGCGGCGAAGCCGCCACCTTACAAGAAGTCGTTCCTTTATTTTTTTATTGTATATTTTCTTACTATTAGATGCCCACGATACAAGACACGTTCGTTAAAAGTTGGGATCGAGGTTTACGGGCCAGACGCTAATGAGGGTTGGTTAGGTTCGGTTAGTTGAAGAGTTTTTAAAACTGGCGGGAAAATTGTATAATCCTTGCAATTTAGAAAATATCAATATTGACGTCGAAGAGTATTCTGCCGATGAGGGTGAGGAAGAAGATCTTGATATGGGTATTTTTTAAATTGTTAGTTTTATATAATTTTTCTAATACTGAAGTCAATTGTTTGGCCTGGTACAACGCAGGGCATAGGTAAAAATTACCATTGCTATGTAATACATAATTGATATGACAACATTGTATTTCTTTTAGACACATGTCACACTGCCAATGTTAATTGTCATTGCGGTTATGAAAATTTGATCATTTTGACGAACTTAAAATTGGTCGTAAATTAAGAAAATAATACTATTTACGAAAAAATTTGGATGGTTTATTGCATTATGGATGGTCTAGTGTTATTATTTAGCAGTTTCTATAACAAGAAATTAATCAAAATGATGTAGTTTAAATTTTTTCAACATCGAAATTGGAAGACACATTTTTATAGTTTTAAGGTTAGAAAAAAATATTTTATAGCGTTTGCAGGGCAAAAAAAGTATTTTGAAATGTGTTTCAGAAGGTCTAAAATCGTTTAAAAAAAAAAAAATAAAAAAAAAAAATAGCCCGTTCGACTGTTGGCGGATTTTTCCCATAGTCATTTTTATTTTGTTCTGCTGAGACACACTTAAAATCGCATTAGTTAGCCAGCTGATTTAATGACTGCAAATATAGTTTAACTGTCTCATGCGCTTCCTGACGTCTAGTAGCGAGGCAATACCTAGCGTATAATATATTTTTCGGCTTTATGTACATTTTTTCTAAAGTGTCAATGGCTGTCGCATAATTTTTGCTTTCGCGTATAACAGAGAATATTTTGGGAGATACGTGATTTGTTAGTACCTGTACCTTTAGACTATCACTATTACATTCTTTGTTTGCTAGGAGAAAATTTTCAAACGTTTGCTTCCAGTGCAGCCACTCAATTCCTGATAAGTCCAAAGATGGATCGGCTTCAAACCTTTCAGGTCTCAAGTACTTGTCCATAATGAAGTGTAATAAAAATAATTTGCTGAATAAATTGTTATAAACTTATGTAAATCAAGAACTAATTGGCTTTATTCAGCAAAAACTTCACATAAATGATGACAACTAATGACAAAGATAAATAACATATATAAGGGGTAATACAATTAATAAAGTTATACAAGGGGAACTCATATTTTCATATCAGTGTTCAAAGAGTTAATGCCATACATGTCATTGAAATTCATACGATTTTCATATAAAACTGGTTATAGCTTGTGAAATACCCTGTATAATCTCATACTTTTTGGTTTTGTTATAATGGGAAAAAACCTTACTTTGAGAACCCTGTATATTTAAAATTATTTTTAAATTGTTGCCTTTTCTGATATACATCTTGCTGTGAAAACAGATTTAAAAAATATATATATATATATTAGTTATGGCTCTACAGATCAACGCTTAACCGGTGGCCCACCGTGTATAATAGAAATACAATTTAAAAATGACCCGAGGACAGTCTAGCGCTCAAACTGAGCGACCTTGTATTAAGATAAGTTTACTCAAATCGGAGTATTTTGATATAAGGAATAGGTAATATGTTTTTTTAAATACCTTTCAAGACACTCTGTATACTATTTATTTAATTTATTTTTTCTTACCCTGTCCTTGCAAAGTTGGCATACAGCATAGTTAGTTTCTCTACCATTTCAATTTCTTTTGGGCCGTGTTCCTTAAATAATGGAAACAACTTTGAATTGTAAAATAAATAAATTAAATCATCATGGTGAACTACACCTAAAATAAAAAAAATTCTAGTCTCTATGGAAAATAATCTAAAACTTTAAAAAAATATTGTAAACTTGCCATATGGTATCGTATTATTTGTACCATCTTTATATGCAAAACTATAACGTCCTGGGTAGGTAAATTTATAGTAATATACAGGATACTTGTTATATTCTGAAATCAATTTTGCCGCACGATGCATTTGGAATCCAACAACTGCATCTTCATATAACTAAAAATTAATTTTATATTGTTCGTCGGAAAAACCTAAGTATCTAATTACTTCTTTAAAATTCGTTTCTTGACTCCAATCAATTGGTCTATCATGGAAATATACATTTTTAATTTTTCTACTGACTCTTTTAGAAAAATTTGTATTTCTTTCGTATAAAAATAAAACGGGAGCTATTTTTTCAAAGTCATCATTCAGTTCTTTGGTTAATGTTCTGTTCTTCAGAATATCTAAAAAATAATATAGGTGTAAATACAGGGTTTTTCATTAGAAGACGGACATTCTTTAACCGTGAGGTCACCAAGCTGGTTATAAATGTATTGAAGGTTTGCAACTTTAACAACAACCCCTAACCACTAAATGTCACAAAGTTCTTCGGCTGTCCCGATTGTCAACTTTTACCGTCTTTCGTTAATTAATCTAAATTATCGAGAATTCTAATAAAATTGGTCTATTACCACTTAAGCCTTGAATATTAACTAAATATAATCTTGTTTTTTCTGTTTATTTTATTTTATAAATGTGTAAAAGTCGTAAATTATTTTTAAAATAGGTATTTTTTCTGAATAACCTCTATATTATTTTTTAAATTTGTAAAATTGCGTTAGTAGATTTTTCATATCACACTACGATGATTGAGCAATGAGTACTCCGCGTGCAAGAGAGAGAGAGAGTGTGTGTGTGAGAGAGAGAGAGAGAGAGAGAAAGCGCGAGAGAGAAAGCACGAGAGAGAAAGCGCGAGAGAGAGAAAGCGCGACAGAGAGAAAGCGCTAGAGAGAGAAAGCGCGAGAGAGAGATAAAACTTCAGACACCAAGAAGATACATATACCTGATCAAGAAGGCTAAATTGCCAATAAACAGCTTAATTATTGACCTAGTTAATTAAATTACACCTGAATGAAGAAGACAAGATTTATTACAAGGTCATGGTGAAGATTTGACATTAGCATGTAAGTAAACAATCTACATATGTATAGGTTAAATTTTAATAAATGAATAAGTCTATTAATCTTGTTGATTACTATTTACAAATTTAGATGAGTTTTTATTTATTTAATGTTTACTATCCCTTTATAATTATTTGATTTAATATAACTAGGATCCATAGGTATCTCAACTGCTTCTGATGCCTTCTCACTTATGTAATTTTTGGTCTCTTCGATAAAAATGTTAGAAGCGAATATTGACAAATATTTTTGATTGAAACCTTCTTTAAATTCGCTGAATTATTATCTAACCAGCATTTTTTAAAAAATTCAGCTAATATCTCTAAAAACGTGACAAATACCTAACAAAAGTGTGAAGCACAAATGTTTTGGTATTCTCTTCTTGCTGTGCTGTTCATATTTGAACAAAGTATAGTGCTTTTAAAAAAGTTACACATGAGTAGAGTATGATTCAACTAAGAAAAAGCCACACACATCATACCTGACAAAGGCCGCAATAATTTGCCTCTCTCTCAGGTCCATCCCATTTAAGCGTCAGTGGCGTTTTGGCGATTTTTTTCGTTTTTCTAATATAGAGATACAATTGCTTAATAATTTGGCAACGCTGTACGACTGCCGCATGGTCCAAAATATAATTCGAACGGAAGTTATCGCGTAAACATGGATCCCTTATTATTGTGAGTCAAACTTCGGCGTTGCCAAGCTTTTACTTACGAACAAAAATACGGGTTCATCGGAAGAAAGTGAAGACAGCGAGATAGTTCATTAACGGACGAACTAGGATGTACTCCTCTAGTTTCACTTCTTGCACTAGTTGCATAAATAACTATTATTTTAATTGTAATAAAAATCTTAAATTACAAAATTGTGTTGCTATTTTTATTTACTTCCCACTGAATGTTTTGCAAGTCTAAAGTCGAAAAATATATGTAATGTTATTTTAGGTTAGTTATTTAGGTAATATACAAATGTTTAAATCAATAAAATTTAACTTTTTAATCCAATAAATGTTTTTTGTTGGGAAACTGCTTTAATTCTTATTTAAATAAGAGCCTACGCCACTGGTATATCGATCTGGAGCAACGGAGAAGGAATATTTTAAAGTGAGGCAGACGATGACTAGTTGATGACGCCCGTGGCTTTTTCTAAGTTGAATCGTACTCTAGTGTATTGCTGTTCGCCCTTCATGCTTCGACTTTTAAAGGTGGGTATAGATCTGAGCAAGTACGCGTATGAGGCAAGCTGAGGACGCCTGAGCATGTGGATGTGAACGGGCTTATGAGGCGCGGCAAGTACGTCACATTTTTCTGATGTCATTTTGAGGTAGGTCAATGACTGTATCCAAACAAGCTTTGTCGTATATTTGTTTAGCATTGCAATTTTATTTAAGGCTGCTATTAAAGGTTAAAACAGTGTTTTTGGAACAATTTTCATGTGTTAAAATATTGTATATACTTGTGTGTAAGTAGTGTGATAATTACTGGATTTCTAAATTACTAAATTGTTAAAAATTTGAGATTTTATGTTACAAACATAACCTCAAAAGTGTTTTATAATACTTATAATTCTGAATAAAAATGAATATACATTTAATACAAAAATGGTTATGTGCTGGGCCTATGGATGCAGCCGGTGTCACGAAAAAAGGTCGCGAACATTTAGTCGCGCGAAAAAATGTCGAGCACAAATAGGCGCGTGTCAAAAGGTCGCCGGCGAAAAAAGAGCGCCGACGAAAAAAGGTCGCGAGCAATTGATCGCGCGAAAAAAAGGCGAGTAGGAAAATAGCGCGTAACAATGTTGATATTTCTTTTATTATCTTTTAATCCCAATGAAAAACAGTCATTGGTCTTAAAGTGTTATAATGAGGGCATCGTAATAAGAAGGGTTTGGTAAAATTTAGTATTCATAGATTTGTTTTGAAAATCTTTATATTGCAGGTAACCTTTTAAAGTATGTCTCTAATACCTATTTATTAAAAAAAAACGATTTGTTTATTATTACTTTAGATAATTAACAATAAGCATTGGAAAATCAAACTTTCCTTCACACTTTATCCAGGCTTAGGACTGGCAGGTAATATTACCTGGCGTGTTTAGAAGTTTTTTTTAGTTTTTTTATTTTTTTCACTTTTTTCTAGTTTTTGCTGGTTTTTTTTGTTCTTTATTTTTTGGCGTTTTTATTTCTGAAGTTGAAAGTTATGAGCAATGCCTCTTAAATATTCCAAATTTGGACGATTGCCATATTGTTCACAAATGAATTTTATTCGTTTCGCCGTATCTTTATAAATTTTTTTTCGTTGCTGTTCGTTTCCAGCTATATACTGCTCAACTTTCAAACAATTTAAACTCTCCTCTTTTTTTAGCGTATTGATAAATTTCCATAAATTTGGATGTGCTGAATTTAATATAGAGGAGAAACTGTTGTGCCATCCCTCCACAGAATTATTTGTACGATGTATATGTTCGTCTATAAATTCAAAGCAATTCCACAGATTTCTTGAAAATTGGGGTTGTCTCCTCTAGTGTTGTCGATCTAAGCGGCATATCCATACATCTTCAAAATAATTTATAAATGGCAATAGCGTATCTTCATTTTGCGTGTAAAATTCGCTGTCAAGTAACTCTTCAAACGTTACAACAACATCTTCTTCGGGTAAGAATGCAAGAGCTGCCAGTTGTCGCAGATGTAGAGCAAAATTTGCGTCTTGTGTATAAATACGTTGCAATCCTGCACCTTGCATGTTTCTCCACAAGCATTGCGTAAAGTGAAAGAAGCAGTCACGTACTCTGACTTCCGGAAACTGTTCTTGTATGGCATTAATTGCTGCTTTTTCAAAATCCACCATTATTGTTGCAGGTCGTAAACTTGGTCTTAAGGTTTTTAATTCTTGAAAGTTACGTGTATATGTCTCGGTAGTCTTATTGGGAAGAAGAGCATATACAGTAGGTACAACGTTGCTGTACTCCATGGATTGTATACAGCTGAGCAAATATTAAAGCAGCACACGTGAATGTTCCATCAGCATACCAGTGATCACAATTCTCCATAAAAGTTAAATTTTTTTCGGTGGAAAAAATCAAAATTATGTCTTGGTTTGGGCCAATATCAAATAAAAGAAAAGGTTCGCCATTGCTGCTTATGGTGTATCTTCTGGAATAACAAGCTCGGATAAATTTCTAGGATTTGCTGGAATAGCTTCCTTTTTTTGACGTGTGTGTTGAATAGTCCGCTTTAGGAATGAAATGGAAGGTAATTGCCCAGTTGCACCTAAAGAAATTTCTTGTGAAACAGTAGCTAATATACCTTGTGTTGTTAGTTCAACTTGTTGCGCCATTTCTTTTATCTTATTACAAGCTTTCTTTGCTTCTAATTTGGCTGCATCTGCAATATGGTTGTGGCTTGTACTTTTTACTGCTTCATCTCCCACATCCCACAGTGTGAACTCTTTGCATTTCCACTTATTATATTGGGCACACTTCCAAATTGTCTTTTCACCTATCACTTTCTTCTTTCTATGGATAAAGCCATTGTACACTAACATATTAGCACCTTTTTGACTGTTTACGTAAGTTAGAACCATCTTGACAGAACGACAAATCTATGAATACTAAATTTTACCAAACCCTTCTTATTAAGATGCAATTATTATAACACTTTAGACCGTATTTAAAACCAATTAAGTAAATTGTGAAATAAATGATTGTCTTTCATTGGGATTAAAAGATAATAATAGAAATATCAATATTAAAGCCTTATTAACAGCTAACGGGGTTGTTTGTAATAAGATTTACTTAGAATAAGTAACCAGCTTATTGGTAATTATCTAAAGTAATAATAAACAAATCGTTTTTTTTTAATACTTTAGAAGGTTACCTGCAATATAAAGATTTTCATAACAAATTTATGAATACTAAATTTTACCAAACCCTTCTTATTATGATGACCTCATTATAACACTTTAAGACCCATGATTGTTTTTCATTGGGATTAAAAGATAATAAAAGATAATAGAAATATCAACATTGTTAGGCGCTATTTTCCTACTCGCCTTTTTTTTGCGCGCGATCCATTGCTCGCGACCTTTTTTCGTCGGCGCTCTTCTTTCGACGGCGACCTTTTGACACGCGCCTATTTGTGCGCGACATTTTTTCGCGCGATCAAATGTTCGCGACCTTTTTTCGTAGATCCGGATGCATCCACTACAATAATAGGGAGCCTTGTAAATTTTTTCGTTTTCCGAAAGATGAAACTTTACGAAAGAATTGGATATAATGCTTGAGGTACAGTAAATAATAATGTAAAATACCTACCTATGGTTAAAATAATAAATTTTAATATTATAATTTACCTTCCATGTCATGGCAAAGTCAATATGACAACTCGTATCTTGTTTATAAAGTGCTCTTAACACCTATAGAATGTGATAAATTTAGAAGCAGCTCAGTGAACCTTATTCACGGTTAACTTATGTCCAGTTGAAAAAATTTGTGTCTCTTTGGAAATCTGTCATTTTATTCTACTTAACAAAAGACCGATACACCTAAAAATCATTTACATAAGGGTCAGTAGAAAGTGTGGTAATAATAATAATTTTTAATATAAATACATTATAGTATTACTTACCGTTAGCAAAATAACTAACTTCCTCAGTGGTTCTTCCGCAAATATATGGTATTTGTTTCATATGACCATTCTTAATAAGACGAATTGGATGATCTGATAAAAATCTGGGTTCACCTACGTCGGGTTCAATTACTGGCGACCATATTAAAAGAAGCCATGATCCGTACTCCTATTTTTAAAGAAAATAAAAATTATATAAAATTTAATTTTATGTTAGGAGAGCCAATTACACTATTTTGCTGCACATTTGCCAAAAAAAAAAAAATAATTATCGTTTATTCTTACCTTGTAGAAGATGGAATTACTTTACTGCTGACGCACAGCGATGGAGCGCTCGATGACGATGTCCAAAAAAAGTTACTGCTACCACGGTACTGCAAACTTTTTTTTATTAACTTTTGATGCAATTAATATCATGTGTAAATTTCAAGTTTGCGATTTTATGACATTAGTTAGAATTTTCTACAACGGTTTTCTTAAGACATCGTCATCGCGCACTCCAGCGCTGCTGCGTCTGTAGCAAAATATTGCCATCTTTTACAAGATAAGAAAATACAAATTTATTGTTTCAATTTGTAATTTTTTCCTTGCATTAGTATCCAAAACCAAGGCATTGCTTTTTAGTTTATTAGTTGTAAGTAAAGGAGCAACACGAGTTCCAGCGTAAATTTACATGGGAAATCACTAAGGTTCATTCTGGCAATTTTTGTCCATATTAAGGTCATTCGTCTTGACGTCACGTGTCATGACGTCACTAGCCAACTGTTGCCAACCTGACCTGACCTAACCAGAACTGATCCGGAACTGATTTGGAACTGATCCGGAACTGATCTCGAATTGTTCCCAGATCCGGTACTGTTTTCGAACCGATCCGGATCAGTTCCAGATCAGTTCTAAAACAGTTCCGGATCAGTTCTGGAGCAGTTCTAAAAGCCATCGCTATATTAACTTTAGGTAGGACAGGAAGGTCATATTTATGTTGGAAACATCAGATTTTATATCAGACTTCTAAAACTTAGCATACTTACCCTAAATTGCAAAAGAGAGTTGCCTAAATCATCTGCTGATTTCGTTTTTAAGCATTTAACAATATTTGCTGTGGTATCATCTGGGCAACCAAGAATTCTTGCCTGTTTCTTTGCAATATCTGTTTGATTGTAAGGAATTGGCCATATTCCCAAAGGTGAACCACTTAATGAACCTCCTTTATGGAATAAACCTAAATAATCATAAAGTTAGTCAAAAATGGATTTACAAGGTGCCAAACATATTCAGTTACAAATAAATTTTAGAAATGTAGTTAAAAAAAAAATTGTACAATTATTTGTGGTAGATTTTAGAAAAAATCTGTAATCCTTTTAAATCTTTTTGAAAGCGCATCCATAGCGTAACTATCCGATAAAATTGTGAACTTGAATCGAATCACAGGCTCAAATTCCTAGGGCTAACTGGTATTTATAGGGCCCGTAAACGGTGAGTAAGAAACAAGGCGGAAAAAATTAATCCTGACGCGTAAGAATAATTTAATTTTTCTTTATTACTAGTGTTTCAACACTACGATGGAAGTTTCTAAACAAATATTTCGATATAACACCAAAAGGACACACTGATACACGACGGTCAATGTTTCAATTTAAAAGAAACGACAAACAGACTGGAAACATGAAACTGTTTGTGGGACCTCTAGGATTATTAAAAATATTGATTTCAAATTTATATGCCTGCTTCATATGTGGTCAGAAATACTGATATCAATTGACTGTACAAATAAGTTACTTCAAGCCAATGATATGTCTGTCAAAACTTTTAAATGGCCTGTCAAAGAAAAATTAGAAACAGCGTAAAGCTGGTGTAGATGACATCCTTGACAAAGCTGTATCAACATGTGATGAAATTGGCGTTGACAGTCATTTTCTAATTGAGAGAGTAAAGACCTTACCATCGGAAATGGTTATGGATGAGAGCTGCCTCGTCTCACAATAACAAGAGTGCGTTTGTATTTATTACAAGTTAATAATGGAAATGAGAAACAGGTGGTTAGAAGCGTCCTCAAAAGCGTTTATTCGTGAAGTGAGGGATGTAGAGAATCAATTTTCACCAGTGACAAATCACTAGATTTGCATTAAATTGATTCAAGTTCGTCCACAAATATAAGACCCAGTATCCATTGGAGCGAATTGAAAACATAGTTTATTTGATTGAATTCATGGAAATACATTTTATCAATCAAATCTTCGGCGGTAGCAGGTTGAATTCTAGTTAGAACAACAAAATTATCTCCAATTTCCCATTGGACATGTAGAAGATTGAAGTCACCATATATTATGAATTTATGATTTTTAACATTGCTTTTTAGAGATTCACATAAATCGCATAAAGATAAATAGCTTTCTACTGACGAGTTTGGAGGAATATACACACATCCAATTACCGTGTCGATATTGTTTTTTAGTCTTAACCCAAATATCATCATATTGCGTAGATGTTGGAGTATCAAAAATATATAGTATTTAAAATATCAGGCGATTTCGTTCGTAGTCCAATAACATTTTGATAGTATATAGTAGTTTGGTCACCACTGAATTAGGATTGTGAATTTTTTAATAAAATGGAATTTTGGTATGTTGGATAGTTATGGTTTAAGATAAATATATTCGATGGATTGAGAAAATTTTGTTGTTGTGTAATCGGTAAGTTAGTTTCTATTAGAGTACAACTAACAGAAAGAGACAATTAGTTTTATGGATTCTCGCTTCTGGTAACTGGACATTAGACCATCATATGAAAAAACTTTCGAAGGTACAAGCATAGGTTGAATTTTAGAGTCAAATTGTTAAATGAATCTGTTAAGAATATTGCGATTAAATCTTTGTGGAGGTCCGCAAATAAACAAATTGGTTCTGCAACTTTCCAGAAGTGAGGATTCAAGTGATTCTATAGCTATGGGTTTACCGTTCCGAGCATTGTCATCTCCGGTGAATAGGATAACGATGTCTTGGTCATTAAAATTTGAAATGTACCTAAGGCACATTTTTATACGTTCCTCAAATGAAGATTTTGCTGATCACTGACAGTTAATATCGTTGTGGCTGTATTTAACTAAATACTTGAATGAGACCTCTTGCATTTTCATCATCCAAGATTAAAAGTTGTGGTTTTCGAGCTGATGAGGAGAAAGGTTTACCTCAAAGTATAGATTGCGGTGTAGCCGGTGTAGTTGAGTTGTTATCTTTTTGAATATTGTCCACCAGACTTTTCAGCGCTTTCAGTTCTTGAAACAGTGATGAATCTTCTTGCTCAAGAACAGAAATTCACTTTTTCATGTCGTTATGTATTTCGGTTAAGTCATTTAACTTAGCGTCTGACTGAGTATTCAAATCATAACCTAATGTGACGAAAGTCTAATTTATTTAAAGTTTATTTATTTAAAAACACACTATTTACAATTTATTTCAGACGTACTATTTAATTTATATAATATTTAGACACTAACTAACAATGGGCCATGTTCACATGTGAGATATGCTGTTTTATAAATTATATTGTAATAGTTAGTCGCTATACAAGTTATTCTAAATAGTCAGTTCGTTAAAAAAGCCAAAAGTCTTTAAATTAAGCCCAATTGAAATTTAAAATTTGAAATTATACGTCATCGGGAATAGACCAATCATCTTGTGTCGAAGTTTTTTTGTTATACAAAACTAAGCCAACGAACAAACCGACACACAGAATGTCGAAGTGAACGCACATCTAAGTGACATTAAAATTGACACCACCTAACCTTAGTTTTTTGTTTTGGTTTAATTTTATTATAAATATGAATCAGCTGGATTTATAAAAGTTAAATCAAGTGTTTTACCCATTGTAAACGAAAATATGATTACTGCATTTTTAAACAATACTCAGTTTACAAAAGTCAGAAAGGTAAGACTTTGTTTTAATAGTAGGTAGTTACAGTTTATATGGAGCAAGTAAAACATAATATTTATCTCAGGTTTTATTTTTAGATCTGCCAAGCAAGAATATGGGGATAATTTCTTTTTCCATAAGAGAGAAGGAGACAAATTACACCTAAACATAAAGTACGGCAAAAACCTTCTGATGTGGTTGTTGTAATTAACAAAAATGAAATTTTTAGTGCACAATATGCTTAGGATATGCTGCATGTCAAGGTTTGTAATATTTATTATGCTTTTTTGTTTTTATATTACATATAATAAACAGTGTATAAGGCCCTTTATTCCTATAAATATTTTTTTTCTAATTTTGACATTTTTTGTAATCGCAGCAAGTGTTAAAATAATCTAGAAACAGATTTTGTTAGTGAACCTAGTAATAATTATGATACCAAAGAATGCTGCAGAGCACCTATGAAATTTTGAGTTAAAAAATATGCCATAATTTTAGGCTATACCCTTTTCAAAAATTTTATGCTCCTCGTTTTTTGCAAAACTTAAAATGCTCTATAGCTTCGAACGAAGTCAGCAAAGCACCTCTGTTGTATAAAGTTTTTTCTGTAAAAACAGCAACACCATATATTTATGCACTTGAAATATTATATTTTTAAAAATACATGGTGCTTGCTAACCTTCGAAAGAAGCCAGCAGAGCAATTTGGTTTTTTAAAGCTTTTTTTCTAAAAACCACACCCCATTTTTAGAATATTTTTAGACTCTTGAAATATTGTAAAACTTGACTAAAAAAATTGCTATTTTTAAATAATACAGGGTGCTTTGTTGGAACAAAGTCAGCAGGACACTTCAGTTTTTTAATTTGTTTTTTTTTTTATATATAAAAACAACTACTTATGACACATGTTTAGGCTGTTTTAAAATCCTAAAAATGTGGTAAGTACATTTGTTTTCAGAAAAAAACTTTGAAGTCAGCAAGGAATTGCGAATTTTTTTTAAAATGCCAAATTTTGAATATTTTATAATATTGTAGGAGCCAAAAAACGTGGTGTGGTTTAAAAAAAAACTGGGGTGCTCTGCTGGATTCGTTTGAAGCTAACAAAGCATCCCGTAATTTTTTATTTTATAATACTCAATAGCCTAAAATGAAAAGCTCTATAATATTTCAAAAATGTGAAGAGATTGTTTTTTTTTTAAGTTTTGAAAATCCGAGGTTCTTTACTGGATTCGTTCAGAGCTAGTAAAGCTCTGCTCGTCTTGTTACATAAAATAAAGGCATTTTGTAGCTGGTTATATAGTTATTTTGTAACTGCATAACTAACCCTTTTATTTTTTTCAGTTGGTTGTAAATATGTGGCATCATAGAAGAAGTGAGGAACCATCTGTAACATCTACTCAGTGTTATTGGAAAGGCTCTAATTTATCAAAATGCGTAAATATTGATGTACACTTGGCTAGATTGTTAAAGAAACCTCATCATCCACTACAGGAAAATAAATCAGTACTTTTATATTCTTAGGATTTGTATATATTTTTTATTTGTAAATAAATTGTTTTTTACTTAATTTTTCTCATTTTTTATTAAAAGGTTAATAAATAAAATTTTCAGATTTTTATATTTTTGTTTGTTAACAATAATTAAAGAGTTTTTATTAAAAATCACCAATATTAATAACTTAAGTCAATATTATTCTTTCTCCTTTTTTAAAGCTACTATCAATAAAGGTATTACTTTAGCTTGACCTATGATCAATTTTTAAATTTTATGATATATTTGGTTCGACAGAAAAAAAATTATAACTTTTTGACATTGGTTGTTTTTACTTAGATTTTCATAAAAAATAAACGGAACTGCAAACATGTTTTACTATCGTAATAACGAATAGCAACATTAAATTTTTTTTTTCACATTTATCACTGTTGTCATTTTCATAAAGGATTGATAAGAAGGCACACTTTCTGGTTTTTTGAAAAAGGTGGCAAGAATTGTGATATTTTTGAATTTATCACCAGTGATACCACATGTAGTTACCCGATTTATTGGAATATATAGACTTTGCTACCACATTCAACTGAACTTGGTTGTTTTTAATATTTATTACTCTGACATAGGCGTTTTTGTCAAAATGTTTCATTTTAAACTGCTGTAAATAGGTGCCTTTGTTTTGGTAGTTTTAAAAAAATCTATGCATATACAGGTACTCATTCCTCTTTGATTTGTTCGAAAAGTTAAAATTTTATAAAAAATTACATTGGCTGTTTAAAAACTCATTATAATCCCTGAAATGTGATAATTAGGTAAATTAAAT